AACTAGAGTATTTAAATAAAGAATCTACAAACAGATTCTAGGTATAACAACTAGTGTAGAACCTTCAAGCAGACTACTTAAAATAGACAATAACTAAAGTTGTATAAGTGGCTAGTTGTACACTCTTTCTACAATACCTCTGTAGCTATTGTATACAATAGTCATATGTCGACTGATTATTAATAAACTTCAGAGTTGCAATTACTCGTCTTAATATTAAAAAAAAAAACTTTGTAAAAAATAAACTAAATATTATAGAAGTTAATAAAATTAATAAAAGTTTGCCAAATAGAAGAGTATGAAGTATGAATATAAAAAAGATTAAATACTGACTGACAAATACTATTATATTTAGAAATTACTAATTGTAAATTAATAAATATATAAACTGAGCAGTAGCTAAAAACAGTAATAATTATTAAGAAAATAGTAAAAATTTTAATTTTAAAAAAACATACCAAAGTTTAACTTATGTCTGAAATAAGTAAATAGTTATGAAATTATTAACTTAAATCTATTCTATGTTCTTAGAACATTAAAAAATACTAAAATCAATAACAAAATCATTAGTATAGAATAAGAGAAAAAAGAGATTATAGTTAGAATTAGCAATAGTTTAAAAATAATTAGAAAGTTAATATAATTAAAAAATAAAGATAGTTGTTGTGAGTTAATTATTAATAAGAGAGAAGATAAAATATATAAAAATATTTAAGAATAACTGAGTATGTAATATTAAAAAAGTTGATATTAAGATTAAGAATTTTATTAGAATTAATATAACAAAATAATTTAGTAGCCAAATTGGTAAAAATAAAAATAATATATTTGTTAGAAATTGTATTAGAGTTAAGATAATATCTAGAGCATAATATAGTAATAGAAGAAAAAGTAAATTAAAGATTGAAAAACTAAAACTAAAATAAATAATATTAGTAAATAATAAGAACAAAGTCAGTTAGTATATTATATCTTCTAACTTTGTTAATAATTATTTAGTTATTAATAACAATAAATAACTAGAATTTTGTATTAAAAATAAAGTAATCTGTAATATAACAAAAGTAGTTTGTAGAAGATAGATTTAAAATTATATAAAGTATATTAATAAGAGTAACTTGTAATAATATTCTTAAGAGTGATAAATTATTAAAATATAATACCTTAAAGAAATTTATTAAGTCTAAATAAAATGTATTACTAGTGTAATATATGAATTGTTATAAGTAATAAGTTAGTTAAAAAAAAGAAGTTTGTAGTATCTAAGTTGTTTTTTGAAAATAGAATATTTAGGATAAGAAGAAAGAAGAAATTTAAGAGAAATAGTTTTATTATTTAGAGTATATAAGATATTATAAGTTAACTTAATTAATATTTAAATTTAATGCTTTTAGTATTTATATATTTAATAATAATCTTTATATTATATATTATATTAGTAAAAATTTTTATTGATAAAATATTTTATTTTATATCTTATTTCTATATATATATATATATATATATATTTTGGTATTAAGGTAACCTCTTTGGTCTTTTGACTTTTATTAATCACTTATCAGTATTGTAGTTCAATAAACCACTACAGGAAAGTATACAATTGGCTACATGTGTAACTTTTTTATATTACCTATTTAAGAAGTCTGCCTAAAGGTTCTTCACCAATTGTCGTATCTAACATCTCTGCTTGAGTATTATACTTTAAACCCTCTGAACCTGTAATCTGTATTAACATCACTGAGTTATCCCAGATGCCCAAATCATTGTCTCAATCTTAGGACTAATTTATCCTTGAGGTAAACCCCCTAAAGCCTTCTGTACCTATTTTTATAGCTGACCTAGGTATTACTATGGCAGAACTAATACTTGCAATCAGAGCTAATTATTAAACTACTATGTCCTTGTAGAGTTTACACAAACCCCAGCATCTACTTTATAGCATATCTGAAATACTTTAGTATACCCCTGCCAGTTCACCAAACTTCCAATCCAGATAGCCTAGTAGGACTTACGACTAGTCCATTAGTATATTAGGTTGGCCTGATATCCTTTTTCTCTGGCTCGATCCGGCAGCCTGGTTGGTGGTACCCCTCACCTAGAGGTTTTTGTCCATCTGGCTACTTTGATCTTGGTATCTATTTTATAAGGCTAGCCTTTACAGTAGGGCTGTCAAAGATCTGGCTACCTCTCTACTCAGATCTTCCCAAATAGACTTTTTGTTACCTAATTTCAATAGATTTATATGGCCACAAGGACTTATCTAGTGTTTGCACTGCCTAATTGCTAGTTTGCATTCTTTTATGTAATCACAACCTTGTCCCAAAGGACAATGTCATGTAACCTGTTACATGAATGCCCCATGATCTGCCAGTCATGCTATTGTGACTGCCATTACAGGTATCCTAACCCAATCATTAGTAACAGTTGCTGTAATACAAATATTACATAGGTGATTATCCAAATTTTTACTGTCGATAAGATTTGAACACCCAATCTACCACTTGGAGGGTTGACAACCTGACCACTTCACTAGGTCACCACACCCTTTTATATATTATTTTTAATAAAATTTATAATATAAAATTACTTATAGTTTTTTTTTTAAATTAATTAATGTTTAATATTGGTATATTTTTATAATACAATTTATATTTTTTAAATATACAGTATTACTATATTATCAGTTCAGAGTTTTGTTAAATATTATTATTAAATTTTTACTTATTTTATATATATATATTTATTTTTCTATATAGTAGATAGGATTCTTACTTATATTTTTAAATCTAGTAAGACTAATTCTTATTACAAATCATTTTTATATTTATTACTTCTTTTATAACTCTAGTTTTAATTATATAAAACACATTTTTAATTAAATCTTATTATCTTAAATTTTAAATAGAAGTTAATAACTACTTTTTTAATTAAATATTTTACAAATTTAATATGTATAAAATATTAGTATTATCTAATTAAAAATTACAAAATATTGATATTACTTTTTTTTCTAAAAACTTATATATATATATTACATTTGCTAGAATTTTTTGTTTTTATTTTTTTGTTTTTTATATTAAACTAGTCTCTTTGAAGTCTAGAGTTTTTTATTTAGTATTTTTAAATATAGAAACTTATAACTGAGACTTTAAAAAAGTCATCTTTATATTAGAAAATACAACTAGTCATATATATATTTTTAATATTTAATTTAAATAGTTTGCTTATATATAATTTTATACTAACAATTATATCTGTAATTCAGCTAAAAATATTATTTATTTAAATTCTTTATACTACAATTCTTACTGTATTACTAAAACATTTTTGAAATATATGTTAGTTAAAAAGTTCTAGATGTTTATTTGTATTTTTAAAATACTATAACTTATTTTATAAAATGCATCTTTAAAAATATTATTACTAGAGCCTTTTATATCTTACATACAACTGATCTAGTTTTATACAATATGTTATAATAGGACTAATACTTATAATTACAGATATTTATTAAATAACTATGTTATACTATTTTTACTTTTATAAAGTTTATTCAAACTTTAGTATCTATCTTTCTAATATCTTCTTTATTATTTTCTATAAATCTTCTTATTTGGTACTAATTAGATTTTACCAAACTACCAATCCAAATAATTTGGTATGATATATATTTGTATCTTTTTTCTTTAACAAAATCTGACAATCTAATTAATCATATATTCTTTTATACATCTTGTCAAACAGATCTTTTTGAAAATATGTTTATAAGTTTCTATTAATCTGATAGTATTATATTATCTCTTTATTTAGGAATTTCTAAATAAGTTTTTGTTTTCTTAGTTTTTTAGTCTTCTGTATTTAATTATCTTATTATAGATTTGTACTAAAGTCTTATGCAACATCAGTTATTAACATTCCTCTACGTATATATAATATTATACTTCATATAGATACTCCAAGCTTTCAATGACAAGTAAAACCCAACTTGATATATCTAACCTGTCACTTGGAAATTGACAAATTATCAACTACTCCAAGTCGTCACACCCTGCCAGAACCTTTTATAACTCTGCTATTACACATGATACTTTATTTTTTTATAGATTTATACTTAAATGTAAACTTTTCACAAAATTTCACATTCAATTATAATTATTTTTTAAGTAACAAAAGTATTTTCAAAATACCTCCAGCTCATTGGCCTTGTCTATGAAGACCTGAAAGCTTAACCAATAAGCTATGAGACCCAGATATTTTGTAAAAAAATTTTACTTTTTATACATAACGAATGATCGACAAATATTAAATTGAAATTGGTAATCTATGCTATATTTACTAAAACGCACCTATCGCTATGGTGTTTTATGCATTACCTCAAAAACTGGCTAATTAATCGGTGTGAGTTGTTCTAAGTAAAAATGTTCTACATTCCCAAAAACCTTTCCCAAATCCCAATGAAAAAAGATTGTTAAAAATTTTATATACAAAACTTAGGAAAATTTTTTTTAAAAAACATAATAATAGGTGCAAAACACCATAGGTGCGTTTTATAATAATTTTTTTTTCATTTTACTTTCGTTATTAATATTCCTGGGATTCCTGCGTTGTTGAATTTTCTCAGTGAATAGTAACAGAAGTTACGTATAAATTTAAATTTATTTACATATTCGGTTTCGGACTAATAATTCCATATTTCGATTAAGTAGTACGTACACAATAAGTACATACAATTATTTAATATCGATAATTTGAAACCAACACTAAACGTTAGTCGATTACTTAAATACATTGAAATTTTTCGTTAACTTCTGCGAAAATTTTGGAATTGATTTTCGGACCAAATGACAGATATAACTACGCCATGGACGCAATTAATTCAACAAAGTCATAAAAAAAATTACCGAAATGTCGGTAGGTTTTTTCAAGCGTTGGACTTCAACTTGTTTTTCTTAACGGAAATACATTTTGATACATAAAAAATTGGTACAGTTTACATACAAATGACGAATCTTCGAAGAAATGGACAACCTTCATTACACAACATTAGATTCCTGGACTTTCTCAAAGACGATACTAGATATCTTATTTTTCCAATGGCTTTTAATGACCACAACTTGCATGGTGATATTAAATCAAATCCTACTGCACAGTTATGCTGGTAAAAAGCCTCTTATTTACATAGCAAAATATACATTTTAACGATTGTCTAATAAAAATAAAAATATATATGCATAATATTGAGGCAAATGCAAACAACCAAAGAAATCTATAACCTATCAGGTCGATTCTACATAACTTCCTCACCCACAAAAATAACTCGGTTTCCAGCTCCAAAAATCATCACACCAAACCAATCACCCACTGATACTGACATTTCGGCTAAGGAATATTGGGAATCCCAAAGGCGACGTTTCTGGACTTCGTTATCCTCACAAAATCGTGCAATTTATACATGGCCTCCATCGGGTGAAATGCTTAAAGATGATAAAGAAGCGTTTAAATGTTTAAAATTAGACGATATGCTAGATATTGTTTCGGGGTCTAATAATCCTGAGAAAGTGCTGCATGATTCAGCGTTTGACAATTTTTGTTTATTAGTGTTTAAGGTTAATGAAGTTGTTAGATTTGAGTATGGTGTATTTCCAGCGAAAAGAACCGTAAAATATCTGTTTATAGATTTTGCAGCGTTATTTTTTGCTTGACAAGTTGCGATATTGAATTTCTTTTTCTTTTTTTAGGTCTACAGTTTGGACGACGAAGGAAAGGAATGGATTGTTGAAGGATTAAATCCTTAGAACCTGGTTATCATATAAACTAATATAACATATGTAGATTTTTAATTTAAAATTATTTACTTTAAACTTTATTATTTTAATAACGATAACTATAAGTTATTGTTAAATTAATATGTGTCATGCTTGAAGTTGGCACATGCTCATGCATTAAGTAGTGATTTCGCAAGTATTACTTCAGGTTTGAAGTCTAGTACTACCAGTCTAAAATAAGGAAATTCTATTTTGATCTGGGTCAAAATATAATTTCCCGTCTAAAATATTTCCACGTTATTATATGACTAAAAATTTCGCTATAAACATTTCGTGCGGTTAGGATTAGGGTTGGAAGACAAGGAAAACTTTTTGCTAGTACGCAGAAGGTTTTTTGTTTTAATTTTGCGTTATATATAATCTTGAAGTTTGATTAATCAATAAATTTCTTAGACTGGTAATTTAACTATTAATAGATAGAGGTGGGCAAGTTTTGTGAATTATACAATTTATACTAATTGAAGATAGTTATACACAGGGTTGGTATAGACTAATCAACAAGCAAATATTACAAAACCTGAACAAATTTTATTTATAAAAAATTAGATTAAAAAAATAATTTTAATATTTTGTATATATTTTGATTTTTTTTTTTTTTTATAAGCAGTCATGCTAGTACTTTATTAAGATTTTGAAATTACATTTGTAATTACATAAATATCCCTAATACCTAAGTCTAGCATCACTCAGTCACCTTAATAATACCTAAGTGCAATCTGTCACATTACTTCAAGCAGAAGTAAGCTGTTTGTCTGATTACTTAAAGTTTATAATAGAAGGATCTTTTACCTTCTATAACAAGTCTTAACATTGTTTTCATTATTTCTTTCTCAACTTGCTTTTCTTTTTCTTTTATTTTTTTTTTCTTTTATTCTTTGCTGATTTGCTTTTTCTCTTTTACTTGGTTCCTTTATTTTTCCTTCTTTTTTTTTTTTTTTACTTTACCTATTATTCTAATTTTTTTTACCTATATATTAATTTTTTTACATCATATTTTCTACATTACTTGTTTATAGAATGTATCTTAGGTCATTATTACTACTATATTTATAAACTGTTATCTTAATTTCATGTTTAAGAATTACATTACATTTCTTTTAGAATTAAACCTTTAATCAGTATTTCTCTTATTTTTACTTTTTCTACTTCTGTTTTTCTAAAAAATGCTGTATATAAAATATATAAAGAAATTTGTATTTTTTTTTTCTTCTTTCAGTCTCTTTTATACTATTGTGATGGTCACTTTTTAAATTTTTTTTAAAGATTTCTTTGTTCCTTACATGCTATCAAGTGTAATTATATTTGTTTTATTTTATTTTAGTATAATTAGTATTTTGTTATTGTATATATATTTAGTTTTCTTCTGTTGAGTTTTTTTAAGATTAAATATTTATTTATTATGCATTTGATAAGTACATTTCTTCTAGAATTGCTTCTTTTTGTTGTATTTAAATAAAATAAGTTTTTGAACTAATTAAAATTGATCTAATATAATTCTTACTAATTACTAAATAAAATAATTAATATATTATTGTTACTACTAACTATTTAACAAAATAGCCAGAAGTTTATATTGTATCTGATGCTAAAGCAAATACTTTAGTTTAGTTTATTTTTGAAGAAATTATTTATTAATATAGAACATCAAAATTTATTTTTTCTAATTAAAGAAAAATTTTATTAATGAAACTGTTTATATTTTATATATAAAAAGTTTTTTATAAAACATAAGTTCTTCTTACTATACTATTTACAGATAAATGGAATAGTTGAATATCTTAATCAAACCTTATGTAAATTACTTACTAAAGTTAAAAAAATAATAACTGGAATTTACATATATCTGTTATACTGCTTGCTTATCAAATAAAGAAATATACTATAACTAAATATATTTTATTTTAGTTTATATATAAATAACAAACTGTTTTTGGATTGGGATCCCATAGCCTAGTGGTCTAGTCACTTTTTCTTCTACAAACAAGGTCAACAGTTCAATTTTAGCTAGAATCAAAAATTCTGTAATTTACAGAAACATATAAATATACATGAAGTCCTATAGCTAAGTCTATATAAATAAAAGATCAATATATAAAGAAGTTTCTAAAAAGAAGTTTCCTAATATAAAGAGTTGGTGCTTGATATAAGAAAAGCAGTGAATATACTAGAAATGAAGAGAAGACACATTAGCAGGTAATACAATAAACATAAAAAAAAGTTACAAAAAAGAAATAAACTTACTGAAATTTAAACACTTCTGGCATTAAAATCAGTTTAGTAGATACAATATATACTAAATTGAATCTAAGAGATAATCTTAATACTATGCTTAGTAAGTCTGCATTGAGAGTAAATTTGAAGATTATAGATACTTAGTAACATCCAATAAGGTAGATTTTGATATAAATAAAATTAGATAGCTCTAATCTGATATGTCACTATAATAGTAATATAAATATTTGTATATATATCACAAGTTAAATAAATAATAAAGGATGAATAATAGATAAATAACAGAAAAAAAATTTACTATTATTTTACTCTATATTCATCAAATAATAGCAATATAACAGTAGTATAATAGCAGAATAATAGTAAAATAACAGAAAGTTTATTAATATGAATAATATAATAGCAAAATAATAGAACAGTTCTATTATTTTACTTTTAGTCTTTGTAACTAAAAGTAAAATAATAGAATTGTTTTATTATTTTGTTATTATATTACTATTATATTACTTATATTAACAAATCTTCCATTATTTTACTATTATTCTGCTATTATGCTGCTGTTATACTGTCATTATTTGGTAGATATAAGGTAGAATAATAGCAGATTTTTTTTCTGTTATTTATCTATTATTCATATTTTATTTATTCATTTGACCTATATATGCAAATAAGTGTTGAAAATCAGAAAGTTTAAATAGGAGATTTACAGGCAGGTCTTAGATATAGCAGCTAATAAATAACCTATAAGCAGAACCCTTAATTAGATAAAGACTAAAGTTATATATATGACTAGTTGTACTTTTATTGATAGACTTTGTATATATAAAATGTAATCATATATTATTAATAAAGACATACAGGCAAGATAGCCACTTCAAGTGAAAAAAAAAATAACAAGCTATTTTTTTACTTAAAGTTTTATTATTTGTTAAATATTATAAAAAAATAAAGTACAATTTACAAAATAGCATATTGTACTGAGCATTTGAGCTTATTGACAAGCTATCTGAATTGCAAATAATGCAAGAACAAGTTACAACAAAAACAGAAGAAATATTTTAATACCAAAATTTAATCTAAAATATTTGAAATAGATGACAAAATATAAATAATTAGAAAAGAAATAAAATATTATTGATTTGTTAAATTTGAAGATAAAAGAACTAGACCTTTTATTATTTAAGAAAAATTGAATAATAGAGCTTATAAACTTTATAATTACAAAAAAAAATATTGCAAAAATGCTATAATAATAATTATTTTACTAAATATTACAAAAACAAGAAAACCTTTTATTCATATTAAATAACTAAAATTCTAGAAAAAATTTCTAAAACCAAAAAAAAACTCTTTTCATAAATCATTAAAAACAAAAAGTAAACAAAAAATTGGTACAAAAAATTTGACTATATTAACTAAAATAAATTAAAAGTATTCAAAGAAAAGAAAATATATTCTCAAAATACCTAAAACTTATTCAGCATAGCCAAAAGACAAAGAACTTTAATTACTAAACTACAAAACTTTAAAACTTTACTTAACACTGACTTTATGCTATTATCTTTACAAATAGATCTTTATGGAGTCCTAGTTCAGCTAAATACTCTAGTTATATCTGTTACATCTCAAGCTTCTCAAATAAAAGACTCAAAGAAAATGAAGAACTAGAAGCAAACTTTCTTTTTTTAAAAAAAAATAAAACTAATAACTCCAACTTTCTTATTTCTTTATATCTTATTTATATCAAAAAAATTTAATAAAAAGTAGGCAAACTAGTTTACTTTTTACAAAATCTCAAATAATGTTATACACCTTAGCTATTAAAACAAACATGCCCAAATTATTAAACTTTCTTATACCCCAAAACCTTTCTACTATATTACCTAATCTATTATATTCAGCACTAGTATCCAATATGTTTATTCCAAAAAACAACTTATAGAATTCTGAATTGGTTATGCTTTCAGAAGCTCTACTATTTTAATCAACTTCAATGTTAACTACTAATATTGATAACATAAATACTATCTTTAACACTTCTAAAGATCATTAATTAGTAATTACTAAATTATACAGCAAAGCTGTAACATTAAACTTACCAAAACCAAAAAAAAACAACTTTTGATTGATACAATACTGTAACTAAAATTCTTGCTTTAAGACAAATACTTAACTTTAATCTTCAAACTTGAAACAATAATAAAATAATAGAAGCTCTTAATAACAAACACTAACTTTTTCAATTTTTTATTTATAAGATTCAAACTATTCCTTCAAACCACAACATCCTATATACTATTAACCAAAAATTCAACAATTCTGATACAGTTTTCTTCTGTTCTTTACAAAAACAAAAGGTACAGCTCTTCAACAACAAAAAGATTTTAATTCACTATACCAAATAGCTCTTGAAAAATATAAAAAATTATATAATGTTATCTTAATTAACAAATTCAACAAAAACCAAATACACAAAAACTCAAAATCAAACTTGTTTTAGATTATATTTAAAACTTAAATTTTCTTATAACAGCTCCCATGAGTATACAAAATATATATTCTATTGTCTTAATCTTGCACAAATCTTTTGTGCACTTATTTTTAAAAAAACTTGCAAACTTTTTAATAAAGTACATTCTTAACTCCTTATTTCACTATTAACATCTTCAGACTTAATTGACCAAAGCATAAAAGAAATACTTCTTTTCTTACTTCTAATCAAAAACTAAAAATATACT